CCTCTCCTTTCCTCTCTCTGAAATTAATAAAGATATATTTAAAAAATAATAATAAAAAAAAAATAAAAATAAATAAAAGCCTCATCACTCGCAAAGATCAGTGAAATCCAATCAAACTCCTAGTTTATTTTTAAAGGAAGTCTAGCCCATAATCATATGACATCTGATGGTCCTTAAGAGCAGATATTTCCGATATGTCTCCCCATAATGCCTAGCAGCACAGTGCTACACAGAGTCAATGGTATTGACTAAAACGTGATAAACAAATGAAGTCACTAATGATATTCTATAATTAGAATGCCCAGCTAATTTAGACTGACCCCTCCCCTCAATTCATCTAAACTGGTGACATAAGTAGATGGAAGGCAAAAAGCAATTATGGAAACATCAAGAAGGTTGGCAAAGACCAGTATAAAGTCCAATTAACTGTAGACTGGAATGGACTAATACAGTGAAACCAATGAGGCAAGAAAAAGACAAAAGTCTTTTTAAAACTTAAAGTGTGCAAACTACTTAGTGCACACACACCAAATCTGAACTCAGAAATAACCCTTTTCATAAAAGGGATATTAATTTGACAACATAATTTACCACAAGTTTTATAAAATACAAGCTTCCCAAATTCAAATATTTATTTATAGTAATTACTTGATAAAGGAAGCCAGACAAATGAACTAATTTTAAAGTGGCATTACTAAATGAAACTCAATTTTTAAAAAATGAAGGTACATCTCTAAAACAATCCTAATAGAAAATAAGTTTATAAATATTTACTGTACATAGAGCTCTAAGAAACTCAACTTACTGCATAATGGAAGTGATATATACATACAAATATGCTAGTATTTTAAAAAGAGAATTAAAGTGCCACCTCTTATCTAAAACACATAAACAAGAAAGACAAATTATATTAAAACATACAAACACCCACATGCATGCTCATGTTCTCACATACTAACACTTTCATTTGGAATAAAATGTGGTTCATGTTTTTTGTGGGTATCAAGTTGTGCTTATAAAAATGAAACTTTTGTTAGGGCAAAAGTTTACTGAAATACTACAATTCTGAATTAGCGGATAGCTAAATGTCCAAATGGCCACTGTTTTCTTGTAGAGAAAGTAAAAAGCGTCTACCCTAGCAAAGTATTTGTGAATTTGGACATATAAGTAAAATCTGGGAACTCGGTATGTTATTTTATTTCCCTTTGCTGACCTATCATATTTCTGAACAAAGACAAATAATCTAATTATACCTTTGCAGGCATTCCATCTTCTTTTACAGAGTACTGTACACGGCTTCTCTCTCTCACGCGGATATCTTGCTCTTCCTCGAGACTACTAACATCATCATCATCTGAGCTCCCGGGGTCTGCAAGAGCTCTGCAGTCCTGACCAAAGCTTTGTGGTTTCTGGTAGCTGTGCTCACTTGTAATGTAGGTTCCTTCCATTTTTAGGGGCACACGAGGTGGTTCCTTATGATTCTGCACATGACATTTCTTTTCTTCAAGATTAACCGCATCTTGCACTGTTATCTTTTTCTCTACCCCAGCAATCACTTGATCTTGGTCTTTTCGCTTCCCAGAACAGGCCCAGAGATGAAGGTCAGGATGGTGTTTATTCCTTAAAACAAGTTGGAGAAACAGCAATTGAAAAAAAATCTAGCAACAACTTTGATAACATAGTAAGTTTCACAATATAAAATTATGCAGCTAACCCTTGGTTCTGCCTGCCTTTTGTATGCTGAGTGTGCCTGACTCAGGCCGACTGACCCCAACTCCCTAGTGAAGACCTAGCCCACCGCTGAGGGAACCGGGTAAGGAGGAAGCCAGGGATTCAAGACAAAAGCAAAGATATTCTTTAGGTTAACTTGCCCCAGAACTTCACCCAAAATGTCAACTCTCACAATTTTATAGAACTAGCACTTGGGGGGAAAGGCAGGAATGGTTTTAATTCTCTTGACATTTCTCATCATTTGATATACGCACTTCTTTTTCTACTGAATTTTCACTATAATATTTTTCAATTGTATGATATGAAAAACTTTTATGTGAGCATATTTTAAAATCTTCATTTATCCAAAAAGTGATACCTGCTCAAGACAAAACTTCCGACTACAGCTGTGTGCAGAGCGAAACCCCTGCCAGGCGTTCACAGGGGCCTGAGGTGCACCCTCCCAGACTCCTCCACTTAGAGAATTCTCTTCAAAACGGGCGAGCAAGCACCTTTTCTTCCTGCACAACAGAGCTCTCACTGTCTGTGTTCCTCGTATGCCACATGTCTGGACACCCTACCATGTCAGTACATACAGATTTCCTTACTTTTAGTCTAGCAGCTAAGCAGTATTAATATACCAGTCTACCCATCCAGACAATCCCCCACTGACTGATGTATTTGCACACAGGTGGGACTATTTCAATCTGATAAGTTTCTAGACAAGGAACTGAATATGCCCATTTTCATTTTTAAAGGAGCTGCCCAAGTGACTTTCAGAGGGTGGTTCTGGGTGTGAGTATAAACGCCTAGAGCTATGGAAAAGCAGGCTTCATTCAGGGACTGCGGTTTGGCTGAGCTGGAACATTTGGAAATAAACAGGAGGGAAGATATGGAGATAAACTGGCAGACAGTTTGTCACTGAAGGACTGAGAGTGAGTGCACGTGGAAGAGCTGGACTGTTTACCGAGCCCCAGGAAGACACGACGGTAAACTCAGCTGAAAGAGACAAGCTCATATTTGTCTTTTACTAAGAGCATGGTGGCAAGAGTAAAAGGATAAACTGAAGAAGTGCAAGACTGGAGCCGCAGAGAATTAAAGAGGGACAGCAACTGTTCATAGGAAAGAACAGTCTGGGCTGAGCCAGTATGGAGAGGAGCAACAGGAGTGGACTACACACACTGGGAGATTACAGACACTGGAGCACTTAAGGTGGGAGGTACCCAGATGGGGATGGAAGGAGGGGAACAGGCAAATGAGCCAAAATAAAGACTATTCTGTGAAAACCAGTGACTCATCCTGTTTTTATAGAAATACATGGGTTTTTAAAAATAAGAATTCTAGGTAGGATCAGAAGAACTGAAAATAGGACATGAAGAACATTCTGATATCCTGCTGGAGACAAAAGTGTGCCTTCTGTGGGCAAGTGTCTGGGAGGACTGAACCACATGTGGTGCACAGAGGAGGGATGGACTAAAGACCTGCTGGCAACCTTCACAGTCAGTTCCAAGGTCAGTGAAAAGTATATTGCTGACTCCATTTCATCCTGACAGCATTCCAGGACATACAGCACAGTGTCCACGGCAGCAAGTGACTTGAGTTTGGTGCAAGTGTAGCACACAGAGCCATGGGCAGGGCCTAAGGTGCTGAAATAGCAGATGCTGTATCTACCTCTACAAGACCTACTCACTCCAGGACAATAGGCACGAAGCAGCTAGTCATCCAAAACATTATTAATCTTTCCTTTTCTTAAGTCATTATTCAAGTAACTATTCTGCATTAAGATGCACACTGATACAGATGGAGCCTGGGTCCTGGGTCCGCCCACTTACTTGAGTATGCCAATCTTCAGCTGTAGTCCGTGCAGCACTTCTGTGACACCATACACGTCGGCAAGAAGGTGATGCGTGGAAACTATCTTTTTGGCATTAAGATGAGAATAATTTTCTTTTACAAATGATAACCCACACATTCTCCCATTATTCAACCAGTCCTTATCGTAACGGTATTTTGCACTGCACCGCTGACCTGTAGAGGAAATTGGTATTAAAGTCACAAGGGATCCCACTCCTTCAAGTTTCCCTTTAGCCACCACCCTCCTAACAACCCTCAGTAGGCAAAGCAAGGTCTCCTAAGAAGACAAACTCCAAAGAAGGGCAGGGAGTGTTCTGAGGAGCTGGCCCTAGAAAAGGACTCCCATCCCTGAGGACAGGCTCCATGAGTGTCAGTGGCAGATGGCACCAGCAGGACTGCGAGTGCGCTGCTTCCCACTTTGCATGGATCTGTCATCTGCCCTCTAATAAGGATGAGAGGGCTGGACAGGAACTAGACAGGGACACCTGCTTTCTCACTGACCTTTCTTGTGAACCAGATGAAACAAAGAGTTCTAGATAAGTGACTAGGGAGCCCTCCCCCAGTGTCTGAGGTGTGGCAGAGCCCTACACAATCCCGTATCTTTGATGTCAGTAGTAATTATATCCCACTACGATTAGCTATGTGTCTGTGTCCCCTACTACATTACAAGATAGTGGAAGGTGTCCTTAGAATCAATCACCTTATCTCTTAGTGTTTAACAAACAAAAGGTAGCCAGTGAATACTGCTGAATGAATGGACCAATGTCTACATTCATATCGGTCTGAGTAAGTCTCCTGCTTCTTAACATTACTTCATTTCTGTGACAGACCTGAGAACAGCTCATTAGCCTTTTATTTGAAATATCGAGTTCTTTTCTGCCTCAGAAGCTGAGAATATACAATGTACAGAACATGCTCCTCGGAGAGCCTCAACGGAAGGCACTCAGGGGAAAGCCACTGAATGGGGGTTCAAAGGTGTAGGTTCCATTTAGTACTATCCTTGTGCACAAGACATTTAACTTGATGTGCCCTAGTTGCCTCATCAGTGAAATAAAGGAACCATATGTGATAATCTGAGATCGCATCTGCTCTGAAATTGGCTGGATATAAAGCACCAGCAGAAACTTGATAAAACCAGGTCAGGAATGTAAGTTCAGAACAGGGCTCCACTCAAACAGGCATACGTGAACCCATTTAGAAACCAATACGCAGAGTGTACCAAGGGGCTAGCTCTTCTCCAGGGAAAAGCCTTAACTCTGTCCTTCCAGTAAGGTAGTAACTATGCTGATGAAGCTACGGTAATGTTTCTTCCTAAGTCATTAAGATGAAAAATATTTGAAAATTTTAATATGGAAGCAGAGTCTAACTGGCAAGAAAGGGGTGTGTCCTATGCATTTGACATCCTGTGGAATTCTTAACAAGACCCCTGGGTGTTGGCTGTTGCAGTGGGCAATCTTACCGGGAGGGTCGCGGCAGACATAGCAGGTGTACTGCTCCGGAATGCTCTCCTCCAGCAGCCCCAGGCACACGCTGTGCTGCCAGCACAGACACTCGTCACACTGCCGGGAGAGAGAGGAGCCCACAGTCACCGCTGACTCGCTACACACACACACACACACACACACACA